ATGTATGGGGTGTCTGTTGTGATTGTTTCAGGTATGTATGGGGTGTCTGTTGTGATTGTTTCAGGTATGTATGGGGGTGTCTGTTGTGGTTGTTTCAGGTATGCATGGGGGTGTCTGTTGTGATTGTTTCAGGTATGTATGGGGGTGTCTGTTGTGATTGTTTCAGGTATGTATGGGGGTGTCTGTTGTGATTGTTTCAGGTATGTATGGGGGTGTCTGTTGTGATTGTTTCAGGTATGTATGGGGGTGTCTGTTGTGATTGTTTCAGGTATGTATGGGGGTGTCTGTTGTGATTGTTTCAGGTATGTATGGGGGTGTCTGTTGTGATTGTTTCAGGTATGTATGGGGTGTCTGTTGTGATTGTTTCAGGTATGTATGGGGGTGTCTGTTGTGATTGTTTCAGGTATGTATGGGGGTGTCTGTTGTGATTGTTTCAGGTATGTATGGGGGTGTCTGTTGTGATTGTTTCAGGTATGTATGGGGGTGTCTGTTGTGATTGTTTCAGGTATGTATGGGGGTGTCTGTTGTGATTGTTTCAGGTATGTATGGGGGTGTCTGTTGTGATTGTTTCAGGTATGTATGGGGGTGTCTGTTGTGATTGTTTTTGTTGTTGTCTCCATTGTGAACTTTGTTTCTTGTGATTACAATTACTCAAGCAATTTTTATCTGATCATCTTTAAACTTGTATACCATATTAATCAATTGTGATATGAATTGCTTGTTTATTTTTCAAAGATATTTGTGAAAATGTAACCTAAAATTGTCTGGAAATCTTATCAATCACTGTAGTATATCAACCAAGTTTACTTTTGGTGTAACTAGCATGTACATTGTATAATTTTCAAGATATAAATGAAAATTTGGCTGTAATACTATTTTAACATTTGTCAAAATAAGTATGAAGTCATTTGCACTGCTGATCACAAGAACCAGATGTTAAGAATCTTCTCTCAAAGACATGTTACTAAGGCAGCGCAGTCACTAGATATACTAGTATTGTTTTCATTATGTTGTATAAATCATCATTACACTGTATGTTGTATAAGTTATCCTTCATTTTTCTGGTATGTATTTTTTTTTTCACTAAAATTTGCTGACCTGTGCACTATTTGGGAAACTTTTACACAATTCATGTTATGTTATTCTAGAAGGAACCTCAAGGTTAATATAGTACATGCATTAATGAAGGTATCAATTTATACTCGAGCAGTATTTAATTTATATCAGATATATCCACGCAACCAGTCTAGTTTGTATCCATTCTGAATTTTTATTTCTTATATTTAATAACTTCAATTCTCAAGTTACGATTGTAATAGTTAAGCTTTGTTTATCATATCCTTTATCTCCCGTGCGTTTTCACTATTTTATCTTCTGTGCGCTTTTTGCTATCTCCTCAGTGAGTTCGTGGTTACAGTTCTGTTTTGGGAAAGGATTTGTTAACTTGTGTAAATATTTTGGTTGTTGAAATATTCACACTGTCTGTATATTAATAATAACACAGTATTCTTGCCATTAATTAGCAAACTATGCAATACTTCTCATCTATATCAGAAAGATTGGTATATTGTGAATGTGTACATATGAAATAGTGTTAATATTACAACTACTCCAGCGCAAATGTAGAGCCCAAACTTTGCTACATGGAATATTTTGGGATGTTAGTATTTATGAATTTCTTGAAATATGATCATTGTAATATCCAATAGAGGCTGCACAATTGGACTACCTGTCATTTTTAAAAATTAGTTATTTTATTCATGGACACACCCATGAATTTCTACCATCGCCTTCTCTTTCTTTCAATGCAACATAATCTGTGTCCATTTGATATAAAAGTTTTACCCCTTTTTTTTTGGGAAATGAAAATGTTCTAGATTAAGATATTTTTTAAATTCTGTACATGTTGAGTGAATAAAGATGTAATTATTGTATTTGTATAAAATTATTTTTTTGTATTATGCATTTACCATATTTTCTCCATTAGAAGTGCATTGTACCGTTTATTGATTAGGCTATTTACTAGTATTCACTACAATAAACCCTGTCATGCATTTCTGTGCGCTGATCACTAGGAAGTAGGAGATACTGTAAGCCTAAAATACTTTATTTTCGCTTGAGGGATGATTTCATGAAAAATAAAATCCAGTGAATATACTTTTTTTCCTATATTTCACATTAAACTCATCAAAAATCAGTGAAAATAAATTTCATACAAAACGCCCAAAAAGCCTTTTCAGCGAAAATTAATTCCAGCAAAAATAAAGTATTCCACAGTATTCAATGTTCGCTTGGATGCTGTGGAAACATAACTGAAATATTCATCCAAATTCAATTGGGAGGGGTCTAATGGCAACAAGACTAGAGTCTGGTGTGCATCTCCGACTAATCATAATGAAAAGTGCTTCACATCAAATATTAATTATTTGTAATATAGTTAATATTCGATCATCGTACATAACATCCTGCAATTATCTTCCATCAATATTGCATTAATTACAGTAGACGTATGTCAAGAGCTTCAAACAAAATTTTGCCGAAAGTATTGCCATTTAAAATCTAGAAAACTGAAAAATCATTAAATACTCGCATATACGTGTTGTATACCCTAAGCCTTTGAGCCAGTCAATTTTATTTGAAAGAAAGCTGTTTATGGTATTCACTTATTTTTGACTCCCATGTGCGAAGCACAAAATGGGAGTCTTTGCAGTTAGTGTGTCTGTATGTGTGTGTATGTGTGTTC